GATCATAAAAAGCAGTGAACAGTGAAATATCTGATTTTAAATAAAGTAAGACGCACCTATTTTTACTCACTCAAATGTACCTACTGGCCCACGCACTGTATAACACCAACGCCTCCTACACCAAGTAAATCTGTTTATTGAAACCGGTCTTAGTATTCTGCTGTGGGCTTAATATGGACAATGTTAACATGTTGGATTCATGACCTTAAAAGTCTCTGACTTCTGCAGAGTCGTTACCGTTGCTTATACGCCTTTTGAACGAAATGATGGATTTGGGATCAGCCAATTAATTTTTGCTGAAGTATGGCGCTGCGCCAACGCAGATTGTTCAATCGTAGTTTGAATTTGCTAATTGGATTGGCAGGGATGTTGTCGAAATTCCACAACTTATGCTTTTCTGGGAGATCTTAATGCCTTTGCCAGAGTATTAAGTTATTTTGCCCTTGCAACCTACAATCAACAAAAGGTTCATTACTTATTCACGTACATCATGGCGAACATAACGCACGATGCGTCTGGATTATTTTAAAACCGATATTTCTCGTAAGACCGCTAAAAGACATTTTCAGTGCAAGCGCATAAGGTGTACGCATCTCCAACACTTGTTCGAAATGAACACTGTAGATTTTCAAGAGACAAAAAAGGAGCCGAAGGACTAAAAAAATTAATCATTGTTTGTGCACTCATCATCAAGAAAATCGTCAACAGACCTCCTTGCTTTAGCAAAGTGATTAAACTTAATGCCAAAGTCAATTGACTTTAATGACACCGGTATTTCATGCCTAGCAAATGTCCTATTCAATTTTTCAACTAAGATATCAAAAAATTTAGTGAAGACTGTGACCAGGGATGGCCAAAATTACAGCTGATGATCCCAATGTTACCTAGCGATACTTCAGTATTGCCAGTGACTATGGAACAGAGAGTCAACATAATAACTTGTATGCGAGCAATATGCTGAGAAGACGAGATGAGTATGTACACATGAATATGTTCTGCAAACACATTGAAGAGTTGAGCATATATTGGCATAACACAAGCTAAAAACATGCAAGACTTGGGGTGACTGACATTTAAAATGAAATTGTGGCGACTTTTAGCGTTGAGCACAAAGATATTTGAGGGTAATAAAAATTGAGGGAGAATTGCTCAAAAGGGTAACTTGGGGCTGTGTAAGTAAAGAGGGTATCGTCTAATTACTGGAATGATAACAAAATGCAGAGTGGTAGTGTGAGAGTAGGAAGTAGGGTTAATTAAGCTTGGAAGTATTCTTAGGTTCGTAAGTATAAATAAAAAAATGAAGGAAATGATGAAAGGAATGGAAAATTCCTGCCGTTTTTGGTAGAAGTGCCTTTAGTGACTAGATTGAATGTATGAGGACTTAAAATGCACGTATTATGCCGACCTCTACTGTGCACCTCCAGTCTCCTCCCATTTTTGAGCCAGTATTATATGGCAACTGGATCTGACAGATGCGATTTGAGCTATTCCACCCCAAACACTTTGTTTAATGCAGTCCAACGGCTGCAAAATTCCCTCAAGAAATGTGTTGCGTTGAATTTGAAAGAATGCAGTAGTCAAACGTGCCTAGCAGGAGTGACCTTTACTCTTCGATTCCTATGACGAATCGCCCAAAAGCTGAATGGAAT